TACTGTACGAGTACTGAGATCAGACAGATGTATCATGTTCTCCAAAGAGATGAAACACAAATGTCCATTTGCTGATATGCAGTGGTTGAAAGGAACAAACAAAAAAATATTTTTTCTTGGGAAAAGATGGGTGTTCAAAACTGCTGCGCCAGAGCTGCAGCAGTTTGGCTTTGCCGCTCTCTGTAAAAACACAAAATTGTAGAGGAGAAGAAAAGTGAAGAATCATCTTTGCTTTTCTTAGGCGAACGACACCAGTCTGACTGCAAAACTTGAATAAAGCTTGGACGTTTTATGGTTTGCTCTACCGCCGTGGGTTTGTGATGAAATGTGTTATCATTGTAACAACACATCTGATAGAGCTGCAAAACTCAGACTAAGCTTATTTGTGAGAAAACATGTTGTATTGGGTGTCACATGTGATTCCAAAGTTTAGTGTGTAAACCTTTCAAATGTGAGCTCAACCCACTGATGCCTGCTCTTATCTTGTTTTTGATAGTAGCCGTGGGGGAAAGGAGATCAGGAAATTAGCATGTTTTAGCATTGTAATAACATGGCTGCTCATGGCATGACCGGACGTGACCACTTGTCAGCGTTTGAAGTCTGGCCATCTCTCTGCTTCTTTGGACTGAAATGCAAAGCGGCCTGTAGATCCGACTGCTCAAACACACACGTCCCTCTCAAACACACAGCTACACACTGTGACCTTTTCGCTTTGAGTTTGAATGGTGTTTGCTTTAAGTATGCATGACAGGCATTTCAAATGAGACAAACGTATCAGAGGAGAGGGATGCTGCTCAGGGTGTATAGTGTGTAAACAGAGAACATTGACTGGAACAGAGGCAGCATGCACAACATTAAAAAACTCTCTTATAGGCTTTCTTCCACCAAATCAGCTGCTTTTCTTGAGCCAGCTCAGTTCAGAGAACCGTGGAGCCACTCGGAGGCAGCCTGCATTTCCACCAGTCTGGAGCAGAACCATTGGAATCAAAGATCTGACATTAACAGAGGATGTTTGTTTGTTGTCTACAATTGAAGATGAAACACTTCCACACGGCCACTGATTATCACTGTTTGCCCTTAAAAACCCGCTTTTTCTTTTCTTTTTTTTTGATTCAAGCTGGAAACTGAGTTTTCGATGTCCAAACCTATTTATTCTTGGTGAAAATCCCCCAAACTTAGAATTGGGTGTGCAGACTGGAACCTGTTCCATAGTAGTGAAGAAGAGCAGCTTTCTTGGCTCAGCACTCTTGTTATTTCAGTTGAAGAAGCCGTCGAAGGAATTTAATATCAGTTGAATCCTGAGCAAACACTTTGTTGCAAATCCCTGCGTCTTACAGAAAAAAAATAAAGACAAAAAGCAACTATTTTGTGTTGTGATGGATCAGTAGTTCAGCAAATATGGCTCCATCTCACAGGGGCTGCCTCTGCAGATAGATTTACAGGAGGAAACTTCAGGTGTAGGTTTAATCAGTAGAAATCTCAGCATAGAAGGTAAGAGCAACTAACAGTACACAGTGTAAGCCTCGAGCCAGAGATCCTCTTGGACTGTTGTAAGTGGATCACCATCTTCCATCTGAAAGAACATCACAGTATATATGTTTTAAGTCCTCTCCATCCCTTCTTCATATATCTTACTTCACAAAGTGTTTCTTGTTTTATCCACAGAGGGCTTGGCTGTGGGAGTGGGATTTGGAGCCATTGGAAAGACTTCATCTGCAACTTTTGAGAGCGCCAGGTAAAACGGGTAATAAGGAAAACAAACAAACAAATGCCACTTTACACTGGCAAGTAAGAACTCAGTCACTAATAAATGGTTGCAAATGCTGTCGAACATTGAAAAACGGCAAAACAATTGGAGACAAAACTATAAATCCTGGGATCATGTGTTTCAATGCACCGTGACAGGTTTCTTCAAATGTTTAGTTTCAAATTAAGATTCCTTATTGCTGGGATAAGATATTAATGATCAAAATGGTAAACGTGATGAGGGGTTTAAAACTGGGTTGTGTGCTCCTGACATCTAGTGGTCACATTGTGGTATTGCAGAGAGCAGTGGCAGTTGGTAAATCTGGTTGTTACAGGTGGAGCACTGGCCTCATCCCATTTAACAACCCACCCAGTACATGGGTGGGTCCGGAAAGTTCAAATAATCAGTTATAATAAAATGTCCTGCACAGACAAACTCCTTGAAAAGGTGCTTCTTAAAGGCACATGAGGAAACAGTCTCTAGTAGGCCCACAGTGGCCAACTCTGTCATTAAGTCATTTAATTTGAATCCATCTTCATTCTGTTAACAAGTCAACCAAAGAGTGAAGTTCACACAATGCACATTTTATAGCACATTTTGACTTTTCGTATACATTTGCACAGCTGGTTCTCTGTATTTGGTGGCATGGGTTCAACAGGTTGCTGGAAATGTTTTGGTCTGATGGTGATTCAACATTCCCAGAAGTAATTAGGCTTCATCCGCTGGGCTCTAATGATTTCTGTAGAAAATCCACTCAAAAATTGTGAAAGGGAAAAAAAGTGAGTGGTTTGTGGTTTAGCATGTTTAAATTTATGGTGTGAATATTGGCAGTATGGTGGTTTGCTATATGGTGTGCTGCTGACACCTGGTGGTTTTATTATGGTACTGCAGAGAGAGGTGCAAACCACCCCAGTGCATGCTGAAGATGGGGGATGTGATGAAGTTGTTGAGTTGCTAATATATAATGAATAAAGAAATGAACTGACTGCTTATTATTTCCTGTCTCCTCCAGAAATTTGGCCATTGGTATTGGCATCCAGAATTTCCCAGAAGGCTTGGCAGTGAGCCTGCCGCTGCGGGGTTCAGGAGTCTCGACGTGGAGAGCCTTCTGGTATGAAAAGACGTCTGTGTCTAAAACACTGTGTCAGAGAACAGAACAATTGAACACACGGCTCGGACTGTGCAGGTTCTTGACGGTTAGTGTCTCCCTCTCAGGTACGGCCAGTTAAGTGGCATGGTGGAGCCTGTTGCTGGGGTACTGGGCGCCCTCGCTGTCGTTTTGGCAGAACCTCTGTTGCCGTATGCTCTGGCATTTGCTGCCGGGGCGATGGTCTACGTGGTGGTCGATGACATCATACCAGAAGCTCAAGTCAGGTAAAGAAGGAAGATGTGTAAAAGAAGGAGAGATGTGGAACAACGAATGTGCACCCTCTTAATAACGGCTCACGCTTTTTCATGTTTCCTTTTCTCCATCTTGTCATCACCAGTGGAAACGGGAAGCTGGCGTCCTGGACCTCCATCCTGGGCTTTGTAGTGATGATGTCATTAGACGTGGGCCTGGGCTAAGGTTGCCAGGGTAACCAGTGCAATGTCAACAGGAACCTCAATGGCTACGTTGTCATGACAGTGATGCTGACCTCAGTTTTTTTTTTTTTTTTTTTTTTAAAGGGACCAAAAAGGGTGTTTTATTCTGAAACACTGTTTGTACGTTTTGTTTGAATTGTTGCTACTTGAAATGAGCTAATTCAGAAACAGATCTATTTTGAAATACTAAAGGGCAACTGTACTTGAATGATTATCTTATCATGTGTGGCAATGACTTCATACATATAATGAATATACTCCTGATTGCAGAGCTGGTGAATGTTTAATGAGAGGATGTTGCTGTTTGAGTTTTACTTTTTCAGATACTTCGTTTTAAAGCAAAAACTCTGTTAGGAATGTTATTTTTTTAAAGTTTTGCTTCTTCCAGTTTTTGTATTTCCTCATGATGGCAATACTTGAAGTCTGGTTTTTGATTTGATCATCTATGGGACTATGAATGAAAATTTCGATTTTTCTTATTTCATTCTGCAAGATGACTGAATATGAAGTTCTTTATGGGACTTGTTTAAGCTCCATGTTTTCCATCTGAACATTTGTTTCAGTGTAATTATTACATTCATTTGACTCACTCTGATGTTGACCATGTACTTTGTCCTCTTTTCGAAAAATCTCAAACTATGTTCTCCCTTTTAACCCTCTCCTACCATCTACAGGTCAGTCTGAAGACTCAGGCTGTGGCCTTTGTCTAATTATTTAAATGCTGAAGTTGATGAATTATGACGTGATGAGTATTTATATAATTATACGGCCATGTCATTCTCAGTGATATGTTTTTTTTTGAAGCATGTAGGGGAAATCTATGGTGGCCTTGAGGTAATGTCAAAATGCAAAAGGTCCCCTCAAAAGCCAGGGTTTGGATTGTCCTCTCTAGGCTACTGTAGGAACATGGTGGCTCCTGTGAAAGAAAACCTGCTCCCAGTCTACATGAAGTAATAAAAACACGTTCCAAGTCATTCCACACAAATGGAAATATATATTTAATATCATAAAGTTAAGAATCACTGTACAGCCAGGAAATCAATATGAACACGAAATGTTGTGTTTAAACGTTTACCAGCAAATTAGACACATTTGTTGTTATTGAATTCAAACTCAACTGAAGTTTATAAAGGAGCCTACAGTACCTAACTGTTGCACATGTTTATCAGTGTTCCCACTCATCAGTGTTTCCTGACAGTTGCAGTCACATCATGTGCAAGACTTGATTGCGGTTTAAGACAGATGTGGGAGTCGAGACAGGAATTGAGAAAACTCAATCTGAACTCCCAGTTAGCTGACATTTTAGATATATTTTCAAGTAAGTCTAAAGATGGTCTTTTAGTTCAGTTTATTAAAAGAATGCACTGAAGTTTACGTAGGTGATATAACTAATAGGCTAAATCAAAATACTACTTTAAAAAAATCCAGGAAATAAAGATTTCCAGGATATTAATCAAATTTCAGATTGTTTTTCCAGGATGTGTGGGAACCCTGGTATATACAATGAACATACATGTGGTTAATGTGACCATTTGAAAGAATCACAAAGTTGACTTTTTCATACACTATATACTCTGGGTGCTGGGACAGACCTTGTATGTTTTATTCATTTATGACATCTGGTGGTTTCTTAAATCATTGTGGAAGTGAGACCAAGTTTTAATGCAGGTTCATGTGCAGGTTGTTTTATTTAATTAGAGATAAATAACATGATTCTTTAGATTTTCACAGTGGGGCTGGACAACTAACCGATGACATATCGACTCTGTCTTCCTCTTGCTCATGTTGGTTGGTTCAGTTAATACTTCCCCACTGGGTGCATTCACAAACTGTCAGGTTCTCGCTACGTTCATTCTCCAGCGGTGGCCCAGGTACATTGTCCCGTGTTGTATTACCCTGCAACATGTCCTCCCTCCTCACTACACCGCTGATCTGAGCTCACTTTACAAGTTAACAATAAAACAATCATCAGAGGTTATCACGATATGTACAGGACACTTTTTGTTTGTTTCATTTGCTCTCAAGTTTATGAGACATGTAGTCAAACACAATGATCACAGTCCAGTGGGGGGGGTTGGGGCTTAAAATAATCGTTCATGAGCAAAAATGTGAGCAGCTCTATACAAACTGATCCAGCTCAAGAAAAGCTGGAGCTTTCAGCAAACAGCTTAAACTGTCTTGTGAGGAACGTGTGACTTAGTACAGCAACTCCAACAAACAGCCTCCTTCAGACATCTTTCAACAGCTACAGGGTGAGTACTCACAATGAAACAGAAGCACACGCTGTTCATCCTCACATTTAATGTATTACCACATCAGTCTTAACACAACAGCACATGAACACACGGGTCATTTCAAAAAAGCTGGTTCATAATCTGCATTTAAAACAAAAATATTGAGCTCAAATTAAACTGAACTGACATGAACAGGCCTCCAGCTCATGTAGCTACAGAACAGTGGCTGGGATGGGTTTGTGTTGCAGGAAGCGAATGAGACTCGTTGGCATTTCCAGCTCCTCGATGCAGTGGATCTTGTTGATCTTTTTGAGGTGTTGTCTGACGGCGAGTCGGCACTGTGAACTCAGAGCTTTAGGATTTCCTGAGGACACACAGGAGATGACAGGAAGTTAGTAGCCTATAAGAAATAATAATCCTGTGTGGGAGTGGGGAAGGAGAAAGGTTGCTCTTTATTTGCTGCCAATATCAATGTCGCAACAAGAAAAAAAAAAAACTTGCAGCTGTAATTTGATGATCAGTTCCACCAACACCACGAGAACAACTCTGTCTCAGAGGCTGTTGACACTGCTTTATTATACTGATAAATTCTCAACCTTTTCCTGGTGTCTTATAGAAAGTTTCCCAGGAGTGAATATGTTATTTAGTTTGAACTTTAGGGAAAACAGGACTTAAACCAGTAAATTGACCTTCATTATTCATCATATTATTCCCTGAAGACAAATTTAACATTAACCTGCACAGCACCAACTATAACACTTTATATGCAAAACTCCTGCTTTCCTATTATTATTGACACTTTATATTTTGGCCTTTTCATAAAACCTTCTCCAAAATGATTAAGAGCAGACTTTAAGAGTTCAAACCTAAAACCTAAGAACATACCATGACCTGGATAATTAAGAACAGAGCTAAAAATTTAAAAAAAGCAATAAACTATTTCTAAATTTGAGTCTCAATGTTATTTCATGTTTGTGAATGTGTAACTGCTTAACTTCAACTAGTAAACAATATCTTATTTTTATAATTCACCCAGCCAGCAGAATACCATCCACTGTACAGATTAACTGTAAAGAAACACGGATGTTAACATGTTCTTCACCTCTTTCCTGCAGTAGCAGCTCCACAGCCTCATTCTGCTTCGTGGACTTCTCGATGATCAGCGTAGGGAGGTAGACATTTGCACCAAAGTCGATGAGAAGCTGTATGTACTCCACACCACAGCCGTGCCTGAGGCACATCTCCAGCACAGTTTTCGGATGCTTGATTGAACTCAGCAGCTTTGCGTCAGTGCAGTTGTAATCTGGGTCCGCTCCATAGAGGAGCAGCAGTTTGAAACACTCCATATGTCCATAAACGGCAGCCAGGTACAGCGGTCCGCTCGACACCCTGGCGCTGGAGGTCCACAGCAAGACTTTAGAGCGGGAGTTGACCTCTGCGCCATGTTTGAGCAGTTCCATCAATATCTGCGCATCGCCCTCACGAGCGGCCGTGAGGACGGGGGAGCAGTTATTGGATGAGTTCCCATCTGGGTTGGCGCCTGCTCCAAGGAGCGCTAAGACACAGTCCAGGTATTTTGCACGAACAGCTGCAAAGAGCGGCGTCTGAGCCTTGACATCTACGCAGTCCACCAGAGCACCATGGGCTAGCAGGACCTGCAGACAGCTGAGGTGGCCTTTAGACACTGCAGCGTGCAGGGGCGTGCCTGCGATGCCCCAACCACCTCTGCAGTTGATGACTTTCTTGTAGATTTCTTGGCAGAGCATCTCATCGAGGAGTCTGTCATTGTTTTGTAACACTGCTTGTCTGAGCTGCGAGATCTCACAGCTCCTTTCTTCTTCTTCAGAGGTCTTCAACTGCATAGAACCTGCTGCAGGGTGCCAACATGGACACAGAAAATGAATTAGACATCAAAATCCAACATCTCACTTATATATAATGATTCGTCCTGAATTTTAGTTGCAGGTGATAACAAACCAATGAAAAGATAATTTGCATGTTACATTTAATTTCTGCTGAGATCCCTTGTATACACTGGTCCTGTGATTGGTTCTTCTATATCGTGTACTATTCCCAGTTTAAAAATATCACGATATTAAGTGTTTGGAACAGCTACATATATATATATAAATATATATATAACTTAACAATTGGTCAAATTTTCAAAGTTAGTTTGTGATGTCATCAACACTTCCAGAAAGTTTGGTCCCTGGTTTTGTTTGATGAACAGATAAAGAAGCAACATCATTACCTATCTGAAGAGGCGTCACATTACTAATTCAATGTTTTAACGTAATCAGCTGTCCACAAAGGACCCCCTCCCACACACCCCTTCTCAGCTCGGGCCCCCTGACCCTGTTGCAACGCCCCTGCAAAGACACTGTGGAAGTACACAAGATGAGAGAGCAATCGATTTAAGCCTGTCCGGCCCTTCACACCAAACCACACTGATAATATTCCACTATTTAATATTTGAAGATTATTTCCCTTAAGTACGCAACCTAATAACTGCGACCAATGGCTGATTTTAATAAATGACGTGTCCTGGACAGTTCGGCAATAATGAAATCTCTGAACTGGGTAAAATATGACATCCTATAATGATCTTGTCTTTCTGCACGGTGTTGTCCTGACGGGACAATGATGGAGAGAGAAGACATATAAACTGCAGCTCGGCGCACTGAGTGTCAGCCGAACCAGGAGATATGCTATCTCAAGAAACACTATCTTAAGGTTAATTAAATGTAGAGTACAGTAGCTTTCTGTTAGCATCTCCATTCAACATACAGTCACAGCGTAACGTCATCTGGGCTAGTGCGCTCTCTCGAACAGGAAGGAGCTGAAACAACCACATTCATGCCCAGTTTAGAGTAAAAATACACATTTAGCTTTAAAGACTTCGTGTTTCGTTGCTTGTTACTAAGTTACAGCCTCATAAAGACGCCATGCTCCCCTTTGCTTGGTTTAGATGAGCTTACCTACGATGTGTCCTCAGCAGCCGCTGCCTTCATCTTCCCGTTTCTCCTTCTTCTTCGTTGTGTTTGTGTTGTGTTCAACAGTGATTGTATTACTGTATGCACTGCTGCCTCCTACTGGTTGAAGGTGCTGCCACAACACCAGGAACATCCTTTACAGTGTTTATTCCTCTTTATATACAGTCTATGGTTTATTCACAATAATCTATTAAATAAGCGTCAAACATATATATTGTAAATACATATTGTAAAAAACAATATGTTAAAATAACTATTGTAAGATGATTGATCATACTGTCCACAAGTATTAAACAATTTAAAAAAGTTAGGAGTTAATCATTTTTGACAATATAAATGAATTTATAAAGGCACTATTTCAAATGTCAGATTATATCTAATTATTAAATGAATGACGACACTTCCTCCACCCTCATGCCCACTTAAAACAGGTACAGTTAATAAATTAAAGAGTGACATTGTGGAATAAAATGTGACTTTAACCAAGGTAGTATAGTAAACTTAAACTGACCTTTGGGCACATGTTGACATGCTAAACCAGGCTAACATCCACTAGCATCCAATAGAGGAGAGCACAACATGCACCTCTACCTCTGTGAAAAAGAAATAACTGGTAAGACCATTTTATAACAACATACAACTCATCTCCTCCAGTAATTCTGTCAGATGTTGGTCATTATTTTTGGCTTTACCGTGAGACTAACATGCTAAGCTAGGAGTGCTAACAGGCTGACATGCTAAGCTAGGGTGCTAAACTCGGACAGCTAACATATGTGACACTAAACAAGGGTGCTTAACATGCTGAACTATGGTGGCCAGTATGCTAAGCTAAGGTGGCTAACATGCTGACATGCTACAGTCGGGTAGCTATAATGTTATTAGGCTGTGCATCTGCTAACCATCAGCATGTTAGCATTGTCTTTAAGCATGTTAGCATGCTGACATTAGGACAAAGCACAAAGCTCCACGTGGGCCTGACGACAGAGCCATAGACATGTGGTGTCATAGACCCATAATGCACCATACTACAGGACATTAGGCTAATGTTTTCTTTTTCATGTTTATTTATTTTGGGGACAGTGAAATATGGAGCAATAACTCAATGCATCACAACTCAGCAGCTGCTGATTTCCAATAGCCATGGAGAAGGGCCTTTGAGAAAACAAACATAAATCTAGAAACAGTTTATAAAATAGTTTCATCATGGAATTCATAACAGATTCAACTCTATGGTGAATCTCATACTCTGGGGAAAAGTAAAACACAACTGTATCCATGGCAACAGACTGACTGCTCTCAGCTATGTTCCCCTTATCACTGCCTTCAACTTTATCTGTTCCCTCTCCAGGCAACCCGCATGGCATCCTTTCTTCTCAAACTGGGTCTATTTCTTCTGCGTGTGCGTCACAGAGCCTTTGTCGGGTTACTGATGAGGTCTTGGTGTTAGTGCTCAGGCAACAGGCTGTGGGCACAACGCAGAAGAAAGAACCAAAAGGGTTTTGACAACCCAGAACAGGATGCTGAACAAGAAGCTGATCCCTCTAAATTCTTAAAGCATATATTAAAAAAAAAAAAAAGGCAACCATTTGCAGCCAAACAACAAAGACACTACAAGGACTCTGTTCTCTGAGATTTGTTTCTTGCTGCAACCTGCCTGAGTGAATCTGACCGTTTCTATTGAGGGCCGGGGGGTTTTACAACATGGTAATGAGCAGCGCAGGCCTCCTCTGTCCACTCTGCCTCTATAGCTGTTGCTGAGAGACAAAGTAGAAGTCACCCAGACGCTCAGAGAGAGTGAAGAAGAGGCCTTTAAAACAACGCCGCCACCATAACTCATGGTGTGTGTGCAGGACGAGGGGAGTGGGTGCCGGTGGAGGGAGAAGAGTTGGGTTTAATGTGAAAGAAGAGGAAAAAAAAGTGTGACTTGTACACAGACGCTCGGGATGAGGAGAAAATGTGAGGAAAAGAGTTGAAGCCAGAAGACTCCAGCCATTTAATACAAGGAGGGGAGAGTATTGATTTCCACAATGCTCCTGCATAGAGTATTTTTTCATCCTGGTGAGAATGTGATTTGCTCTGCAAGATGACAGGCACGCTCGTGGCAGAAAAGCAGGTGCTGCCCTGGATTCTTTGTTTGGTTTTGATCACAGTAGCTGGAGGTGAGAAGATTTATTTTATTGAAGGCTAAAATTAATAAGTTGAAATTTTCTTCGTCTTCTTCAGTGGATTCCAAGACAGCAAGATGTCTCTGGACTCATGGAAATTTACTTTTGAACATCATCCTAGACAATTCCTCTTATTAGCCTTATTTAATTTAGCATCACATTTCAGGAAGAAGTGTTTTTACTTGTACAACATTGATATGTTTAAAAATGTGTAGTGTTACACGCTTCACACTCTTCAATATACATTTACATTAAATCTTTACAGTTTAATGATGCTCAATAAAATAAATGGAGTATTGCTATTCTTTCAATCAAATCTATTGCAATGTGATTTGCACTTATGTGTTCAAATGTCCCATTCAAAGAAACAATTTACAGTAGTTTAAGTACAAAAATGAGTGTTTGATCAAAGAAAAGATGCAAAGAGAAAGTCAGGCTGTCAAACAGTTGGTATCACGGCTGTTCAGCACCTGTATCGTCTGATAGTAAGTCAGTTGTACTCATGTGCCATATGAGCTCCACTTTTTCAACTCTTACCAACTGACTTACCAATTTTCTTGCAGAGAAAAAAACTTAATTTTCATTTGCCACCTCAACATACAGCTGTTTGCTTTCTCTCTATGTGATATTATTATTGATCTGTTGCACGTTGTCAGCTCAATGGGATTTTTCCTCTCCAGAAGAGGTTCCCTGTCCAGAGGGAGGTCGGATCCACTTGTCCAGCGTGCGTTGCTACTGGATGTCAGAGGTGACGTCTTCGTGGTCTGAGGCTCAGCATTCATGCAGAGAGACTCCAGGAGGTGATCTGGCATCTGCTGACACTCCAGAGCTGCAAACGTTCATCCACTACTCCTTTCCTGCGTGAGTCCTACATGAACAATGTCTGTCTACACTGGCATCGTGTTTTACTCCTCTCTGTTTCAAGAGCAGATGTGTTGTGTTGTGTGTTCTTGTTTTAGGAAAACCACTGTGTGGGTATGGATGAGGGGAGAAGGGTCGGAGAAGGCTGGGGTTGTGGAGCCGGTGAGTCCTGCACGGTGGGCTGGAGGTAGTGAGAGGGGGTGTACTCAGATTGCTCTGGGTTCAATGAGACAGTGGAGAAGAGCTCAATGTGCTGGACGATACCTCTACCTCTGTGAAAAAGGTTTAACCGGTAAGACTTTTGTTTTTAACATATAAAACAGAAAATCTCCTTCATTATTTATGTAGTATGTGGACAATCTGCGCCCATAGAGACGACACTGACATATCTGGTTGATGCTCAGGAGTAGAGAATAACAGCAGACGTGTGTGTGGGTGATTTTGGTTGATCCCACGCAGAGGCTCTACCACCTATGGACAGTTACCTGACGGGATTGGTTCACATGAGCGGCATCTACACCCAAACCCAGATACAACCTCTTCTCAGCGTCCCAGACATTGGACAACACACAGTGGAGGTTCGTAAAATGTGACCAGGGTGGACAGAGGAAGAGAAGGCACATGTAGAGCAAAACATCACAACCACACAGACATGATAAACTTCTCATCAGAGGTTTCAGCTCAGGACTGAAATCACTGGTCCAAATCACAGATTCCAGACCATTGGTAGTTTTATTACAATTACTGTGGTGTGGCAGGATGGAAATGACTGTGGGGGAACTTGACTAATGATGGATAAAGTGTAATAGATATTATATATTTTTAAGATGCATATTGCTGTAAGCTTATATTCCAATGTTGGTGCATGAAAAACAGTAAACAATGAGGCGAAAAGTAATGGATAGATAGTAAAATAGCTAGCAACTGAAAAGTAAAGTGGTTGAAACAGGTCAAGTACTAACTGATCTGAATATTGTTTTTTTTAACCCTCTCAAGCCCCAGAGTCGCCATTTCCAGAAAACAGAAGCACAGTGCTCTTTCTGCTTTGGTCGCGCATCAGCAGCAGCAGCCAAATTATTTCCACACAATTATATACCCGCTAAAGTCTTGTTGAAATATTCCCACAGATGCAGCTGTTCCCAGGCTTGTGGTTCAGTCATGCAGGTCAGTTGGTAAAGGTTCAGCTTGTGGTTCAGCCAAGCCCACAGTCCTCCCTGGCCCGTGTTCAAATCCTCCGACCCTACTGCGACCCCAACCACCACCTGGTACCTCCAGGTACAGCACATCAATAGCATGACGTCTGGAAGCTATACTGTTGTGTCTTTCTTACAGTACTGAAGGTATTGCTAAACAGTCCTGTTGAGTACTTTTATGCAAGAATCTCCTCTTTGCTCCTCAGGTTGCAGCTCTCTCCTTAATCCGTTTAGCTGCTGCTCACCAGTACCACTGTGTAACACTACAGGGGGCTGCAGCTTGGGTCAGTACTGGTGCCACCTGCTGGAGGCCTGTGTGCCCAACACCAGTCCCTGCAGCCCCTACGATTTTGCAGCGAGTGGCCGTGGCTTTGCTTTACCTCCCAGATACCCTGCAATACCACCCTTCTACCACCTGGTAGCAGACCTGTCTCTGAGAATAAACCCCAGCTCTGAACTGAAAACTCTGAGCGTGAGTTGACCTTTGTTGCACTTTGATACAGTTATTCATTATGAATCAGGTCAAAGTAAATAGTAAATAGTCCTGTATCATTGTCGTTTTCTCTACTACAGGTGCTTCTTCCAGATGCAGCAATTATGGTGTACCCTGATGATATTATAGCACTACAACACACGCGGGACTCCGGAACCTTTCTACATTGCCGCAGCAGTGAAGCCTCTCAAAACTCCCCCTGGCGCCAGAGTTACCTGTCCCTTAGAGGGGCCCAATGGGGAGGTTGGTGGCAGGGAGGCCTTACTTCACTGTCCGAAGGAAGCCAGTGGGTGGACGGGGTAGTCTGTGATCTGAGCATACTGTACATAGACACCCTCCACAGGGGCACTGAGCTCGATGGTATCTTTGGTTTCACCCACACAGAGACAAACACACCTCCTGATGTTAGTCTTCTAACTACAGCTCCTCCTCCAGATCCCAGATCAAAATTTAGGCTTAATATCATCCTCCCCCTGCCGGACAAAAAGAACCAAATTCATGTCCAAATCAACACCCCGACACTCATTGTGGTAAAAGTCCTGTCTGCTCAGAGAGCAAGGAGCTCATGGTCAGCCCCAGTGCTCCAAACTGGGGTCCCGTTTCTCTCATCGTGTCCTGAAGAGGTGGCTCCATCTCAGCCTGGCTGTAAGAGGCAGTCTCCTGATGAATGGTTCTCCTCTGTCACTCTCTTGCTGCCCTCAGTGGGGGTTCAGATGTTGAATATCAGTGTGGTGGATGAAGTGAGCGCTCAGAGTGTGCAAAGTGTGAGTGTGAGAGTCTGTGGCTACGAGGCAGTGACAGGGCTCAGTGTTGAGCCTCATGGACGTCTCAGGATGCTAACAGACACATCACAGGTGAGAATTTACAACACATGCCATTTGCATTCAAGCCAAAGTTTTTAGTAGCCATGCTAGCAGTGTGGGTCAAGATGTCAGTAAGACAATCGCTTTGGTCAACACTGAAATATGTCACTATTGTATTGCATTTGTAGAGCCCATATTCAGAAATCACAATTTGCCTCATAGGGCTTAACAAGGTGCGACATCCTCTGTACTTAACCCTCAAGAAGTGTAAGAGATGACTATAAAAAAAACTATTAATTGGGGAAAACGTAGAAACCTCTGTGTGAGAGTTCCCTATCCCAGGACTCACAGAAGTGCAGTAGATGCCCCATGTCACTGAACATATTAACAAATTAACAGTATTTACAACATTGATTAGAAAAACTTTTTAGCATAATGGAGAGGTCTATCAATGGTAGAATGATAATGTCTTGATAACTATTTATATATATCTATAAGGTTTGACACAGATATTCAATATATTTCAAGTTAGTTTGGTCAAAGGTAAAATTTTTACAATACTTTGGTGGAATACCTGCAAAACTGACATTCCCATAAACTTCAGCTGCATGCTAAAAAGCTAAACTTTGTGAGCATGTTTGCATACGGATGCTTGATTTTAACTCAGCCTAAGAATTTGCTAATGTAGAGTTATATTTTTGAGGAATGTTGTCATGGAAAACTTGAATTTTACCAGAATGCACCCCATTTCTTCACATTTCTCTCAGTGGCATCTTCTGTGTTTTCATATTGCAGTCATTTACAGCCAAAGTGGAGCGTGGTTCCTCAGTAACATTCACATGGGTTATTGACAACCTGGAGCAGTTTGCCTATGAAGGGGAATCTTACAGTGTAGCGTTTAAGAGACCTGCTGAGTATAAACTCAAGGTAAGGCGTTTGTTTGGTTGCTTCTTTTTGATGTGCTACTAATCTGACTTTTTAAAATGAATCTGTAAACTTTATCTTAGGTTACAGCCTCTAACCCTGTGAGCTCCCAGAGCCTGGAAATCCTCTTGATTGCTGATGAAATGAGCCCAATGGCTGAGCCAGAGTTGTTGTTTGTCAGGGAGGTCATAGCTGTGAATGTGACCCACCTCTACACCCTCAGAGTTAAAGTGGACATCTCCCTGCCAGTCACCTTTAGGTAGGACATTATTCATCAATAACCCTTTCAAATCCTCAGAGAAAAATGTGGATATATTGTATCATGTTGACTTTACGACGGAGAATTCCACCTCCAACACGCAGGTGGGATTTTGGAGACGGCAGTGAAAAGGTGAGCCACACCCAGGCTGCTCCATATCAGACCATGGATGGACTTGTGGAGAGTGGAGAGAAGCAAATGTACGTCCAGGACTCGGTGAACTATACCTATTCTTCTCCAGGTAAATACACACAAACTGCTGCATAAATCAGCATTTTAAAATTAAGAATGTATGAAATACTCAATGCAGAAAAATATGACTCAATTCAGCAGTTTCAATCAGTTCTATGAAGCATTCTAGCATCTTTCATTGTATTGTTTTGCTATTAAACCCTGCAGTTTTACACAGGTTGATATTCTCTCACTGTGGTCGTAGGTGGCAAAACCCACAGTACACTACTAGACAAAACAAAGTAAGCCACTAGCTGGTGAGCATAGTGCAACATTTAGCCAAAACACAACAAATACACAAAATAACATGATAACACAAAAATGTCTTGCATGAGACCAAATTGAAAAAAGTGAAAATTGGAATATTTGTCAAATGGACCTTACCTGAATAACAGATATTTCCTGCAGGAGAAATAAACCAAATATTTGACTGAAGTTTGTCAGGTGGATGCTGAAACTACTTTGAATAAAATACAAATGTTGCTCTGTATCTGTACCTATGATTTGCAGCTACTTGCTAATTGAGTCATAACAACGTCATAAATTGTTGTGTTTACAGTTTATTTTACTCTAGGTTGGCAAAATGCAATACAGATTTAAAACAGCTTCAAAGATATAGCTAATTGAGAAAACAAAAAATGAATGTGTGGGACATATTGTAGAATGGCTGATTATAGCAGCTGTTATTTGGACAGAGATCCATGTATCATTTTGAGATCTTAAAATCAAATAGATTTTTCTCTGTTGTTCAATATAGGTGACTTAACACTTCATGTCCAAGTCTCCAATCAATTTGAAGACATTGGCACATCAATGAAGATTATCGTCCGCCCTGAGTTAGGTCATGTCCACATTTCCTCTTCCCCTGTGGTGCCCACTGTCAATCATACACTTCTTCTGGAAGCTGCTGCAGAGCCCTCCACCTTTGGTGTCTTCTATAGATGGGACTTTGGCGATGGCTCCAAAGGTGTCCAAGGCATCCACCATAAAGTAAATCACACTTTTACATCTGCTGGACTTTATAATGTCACAGTGTGTGTCAACAACACTTTGACGGCCCTGACCACTTGGCTCATCTTGGAAGTTATGGAGGAGATCTCTGGATTAACCATAAGCTACAGCGAACCTAATGAAGTGAACTCTGCCACAGATTTCAGAGCTAAGGTAGCCACTGGTACAAGTCTCATCTGGGATTTTGACTGTGGTGATGGGTCCCTACAGGGCACCCTTACAGATGGTTCCATCTCACACATCTATAAGTTTCCAGGGAATTATACAGTGGTTGTGATTGTCTCTAATTCTGTCAGCAAAGCTCAGCAGTCTATCAGGGTAGAGGTCTATAGTCTGGCTGTAAGTGGAATTCTCCCTATTGAATGTATCATAAATGGAACAGACACACAGCTCACTGCTCTGGTCACTGGGAAAATATCCTTTCTCATTTTCCATTGGCGATTTGGCGATGGATCCCCTGTGACTGTAGTGGCAGGTCAGTCCACAGCCATGCATTCATTTCCAAGGCCAGGTATTTTTAATGTTAGCCTGACAGTGATAAGTCCTGTTTCATCTGTATCAATTAATACGAGTGTTTGTGTCGAAGCGCCAGTAACCAGCGTGACAGTGCAGTCATCACAGGATGTTGTAGCAGTAGGAGAAGAGGTATGCTTCAGGGTGTTAGTTTCCCCCAAACAAATGACAGGTTACCAATTCAAGTGGTTTAGCAACTCCTTTACACCCGCTGCCAAGACGGAAACCTCTCAGGAGTGTTTTGTGTGTGAAGATGAGGGCGTTGAAGAGCTATCAGTAATGGCAAGTAATAACGTCAGTAATCAAACAGCCAAAGTTAGCATCACCATTCAAAAGCCTGTGAGTAAACTGTCTGTGGGACATGATAGTCAAAGTGACACACTGACACTCAATACATTAGTGTCTTTTTGGGTTGCTAATTGCAGTGGAAGCCATGTTTCAGTGCAATGGGACTTCGGAGATGGTTCTCCGATAGAGCAGAACCAGAACGTGTCACATGTCTTTACCTCGACAGGTCAGTTCACAGTCACTGCCACGGCATCTAACATGGTGAGCAGGGAGTCTGCATCCATCAAAGTGAATGTTCTACTCCCTGTTGCAGACTTAACCCTTCACAGCAACCAGCCCTATGCTGTAGTAGGAGAGGAAACTCTTATCACTGCAGTTAGTAGTGCAGTCAGCAGCACCAGCTTCTACTGGACTGTTGATGGTTTAACTTCAACCAAAACAGGGACCTATCAATTTAAATTTGCTTTCCCCGAACCAGGGGTGTATCAAGTGAGGGTTGTAGCCCAGAACTTGGTGAGTAGAATGGAGGCAGCTATTTTAATTGAGGTCTTGGAAAGAATAGAGGGTCTTCACATTGATTGTCCCAGTCTGACCAATATGAAATATGCACCAACACAAGAGGAACTGCTATTTCTTGCTTCAGTCACCAAAGGCTCCAATGTCATGTATCATTGGCTTGCTGCGCAGAGTGGAATAAACCAAGAGATCACTGGTGATGGCAAGCTTTTTCATCTGTTGGCTGAAACGCCTGGTGGGTTATCAGTTCATGTAAGAGCCTCAAACACGTTGGGTGAGGCCACAACCACTGTTTCTCTGGTAGCAGTGGAGCGTGTAACAAGTGCATGTGTTGCAACTCATTCAAACATTGTGGCATTAGGGAAATTAGTTAATATTTCTGTGTCTGTTGTTACAGGGTCAGACCTAGAGTACCTTTGGTATATGAACTTTGATCCATCACCCTTGCGGACACATGTACCCTTTCTTCTCCACAATTTTACAAGTTTGGACGATGGTCTTGTCACAGTGGTTGTTCAGAATGTACTCAGCCAATGTAATGATACCAAACAGCTTATAGTCCAGGAGGGTGTGCAAGAGGTGGACTTTGAAATTGAAGGAAAGACACGTCCATTTTATATCAGTGCAAGTGCTGCTGTTTCTCTCCGTGGGCTTATTCGTAAGGGCAGTGACCTGCACTGGAACTGGGAAGTTAGACGTTTTAAAACCAACATTTTTGATGCTACTAATCAAACCTTCATCTACACTTTTACAAATCCGGATATATACCAGGTGTCTTTGAATGTCTCCAATGGGATAAATTGGCAGATGGTTTCACACAGGATCACTGTCCAGGATGGAATCAAAGATTTGCAGTTGAATATAAGCAAATCTTCCCTTTGCAGTGAAGAAGAAGCTACTTTTATTCCGACAATTTCCAAAGGAAGCAATGTGAGCTTTGTTATAACACTTAAAAACAAAGACTGGATTCATAGCCAGACCATTCTCGAAGGTCAAAACAGCTCATTAAGCCTTTCAGCTGGGAGATATTCTGTTACAGTGGAAGCTTGGAACCTGGTCAGCAGCACAGAGGTGTCTTCCAGCATTCTGGTCACTGAGCGCATTCAAGGTTTGCGACTTGTAAACAGTAGTTCTGCTGCACTGGAGGCTCTGAAAGGAACCCATTTCAAAGCAGAGGTGCAAAGTGGGTTTCCAGTTATTTACACCTGGATGTTTCACTTGGTGGGGTTGAAGCCCACATGGCTGATTGGTCAAGAAGTAATATTTACTCCACCAGAGAGTGGTTCACTGTCTATCAGTGTTGTAGCCAGCAATGGGGTTTGCTCACAAATGCTGAATGAGACTGCTTCAGTGGAGTGGCCGGTTAAGGAGATAAAGCTTGTTTGTCTTTCAGAGAGAATATTTGTTGGACATGCGGTCATGTTTTCTGCAACAGTGAGTGGAGGGAGCAACGTCAGATACCTCTGGGACTTTGGAGATTCCACTAAAGCACTGGTGACAGACTTGAGAACAGTTAATCATACTTATTATATTGCTGGAAAATACAGTGTTATGGCCAGAGTTGTCAACAGTGTTAGCCATGTGTCCACACAGCTTCACTTGGAGGTGGAGGAGCTCCAGTGCTCCAGCCCACAAGTTTCTCTAGTCCAGAGCCAATCTACTATCTACAGATCTAGACCGAGTTTCTTTGAAGCCAGCGTGGACGTTAACTGCTCTGTTTACAAGACCATGTACCAATGGGACATATACAGAGGGTCCGATTTTACCACTTTATCTGGGAACAAAGTCTTTCTTCGGAGTCAAGTGGATGCAGCTTCTCAGTAACCTCACCCTGGACGGATCTGAGTCTTATGACCCTGATGCGGAGCCCGGAGTGGAGGATACGCTAGAATATCACTGGACCTTCATGAGAGCGGTAAAGGCCTTTTGATGTAATTGCAAACTCAGTGTATTGAAAACCATGTTGTGAGTTGTGTATTAATGAATAAGAAATGAAAACTAATTTAACAGAACAGATAGGTGGTGTGATGCATTAATCCTTTAATACACACTGGACACACTTCTAACACCTGCATTTTCCTGTATTTACAGAACTCTGCACAGTCTCATTTTGTGAAACAGCCCATTGAGAGCAACAACGGTAGAATGACTTTATTCACTGAACAGCTGCACCCAGGCTCGGTCTACATTTTCACACTCACTGTACACAAGGCAGGAAGAAAGCCTGCATCCGTCAACCAGACTGTGAGTGTTACACATATTACATGTATGTTTGAAAATGTTATTTATGTGATTTATGTGTGATTATGTGTGATTAATGTGATTTATTTATGCTGATGATGTCAACCACTTATCTTTAGGTAACTGTGTGTGAAGCCCCTGTGCTTCATGTGACTGTGGAATGTGTGTCCTGTTATGGCCACTCCTCCTCTCAACACAGTTATAACAGTGCCATCATCATGGCTGGACGATGCGAACAATGTGATGACCAGATTCAGGTAATGTTTCTGAAACAATTACACATAATACATTTTTTTTTTTCTGTAGAAATCTGGTAAACATGTCTCATGAGGATAATTCAAATGTTGAAAGTAATTTGACAACACACGACTGCAAATAGTCAAAACAAATCCAGAAACACGCTGCTGCGGAATAATAATGTCCCCATCTGCAGAATCACAGCTTTTTTTCAAACCATCAATTTCGGAGTTTCAGATCAGAGCTGTGCACAACGCTGGGATTTTCAAGCTTCTGAAAAGTGGGCGTATTAAACTCTGAAACAACGGACAAATAATAGTAGTGTAGGTGTACTTAAATCAAGTTACAAATTGAACAACCATGTCTCAGCCAACTGTTTTTTTTGTTCCCAGCAAACATTTCAATAGTCAGTCAGAAGAGGATGTAGTCTTTATTTGCTTGAGTTTTGTCTATCTTATCTGCTCAGATTATTCATTTGTTATAGGACGTTTCAATCCACATTCAATTGTAACAAGGCTTAGTGTGTCATAATCATGTGTCTATCCACAGTTCAAGTGGAGTGCTGAAGTCCAGACTGGCGTGACACTTGACCTTGATGACGTCGCTCCCTCTACAGGGACACATTCTCCTAACTTGGTGGTGCGTTCAGGTGTCCTCAAACCAGGACTGAGTTATACCTTTACTCTCAATGTCTCCCAGCCTGGTGGAGGTCAATGGGGCAGTGCCAGTCAGACTATACTGCCTAACAATCCACCACATGGAGGCCTCTGTGATCTGAGGCCAGAGTCTGACATACGTCTGCTGGAGACTGTGGTCACCTACAACTGCTCAGGTAATGTGTTGTGTTACACAGTTCAATTTGCGTCAGTGCATTTCTTAATGTGCCTTTTCGCCTTGTTCTTGATGCATTTTAATTTTTGAAAGATTACTTTTTTAAGTGTTGCCTTTTCAGATAATTAAAAGTTTTGTCTTATCTTATTTTAATTCCAGTGTACCACTGGTCAAAGCTTTGCTCTGTTATTTTTTGGTAGGCTGGCGAGATGATGAAGGCGAGGCTTCTCAGTTGATCTACACCTTCCAGGTTGCACCATGTCAGCCAATCAGCACAATGTGCCCCACACTTACTCTGTACAGGTGACTACTGGCCTCTATTTTTAAAATCTAATTTCCCCTTTAAAAATTAAGCTTCCAGCATATTGCAATTCTTTCCCAGGGGAACTCGTTCAACATTTGGCAGCCTGGTTCCAATGGGACAATCAGGGCAAGAAAAAAAACTGTCACTCATCACAGTCACTGTATTGGTGGAGGACCATCTCGGCTCAAATGTCATTGCTCTGAACAGGTAAAAAGAAAAATCATTTGTGTGAAATACATCATGCCTAATGTCGTAGTCAAGATTTAGTCCACTTTCTCTCTCTTTTGGATTCCTCCACTCTCAAGAACACTGACCATTGAAAATCCAGCAGTGGACGAAATCACCAGTGAGTGGCTCAGAAACAAGAGCCAGACCGAGCTGTGGGCTTTAGTCCAACATGGCAACCCTCAGGAGCTCATCCCTTACACCATTGCCCTCACCAGCCAGCTCAATCAGGTAGTGTGTCATATCTTCACATTACAGTGCATACAGTGCTTTTCTTCACCACCAGATAACATGATAACTGAACATCTTAGACATAAGATTTAGAATAATGAGTTTCACCCCTGTCAACAGATGGCGTCTGAACGGACCCCTCAGGAGCTCATGGACAGGAGGGAGATCCGGGTAAATGTGTCTCAAGCCCTGGCCTCTCTCCCCGTGTCCTCCTTGATGGATGTTGATCAGATCAGCTCAGCGTTGGCACAGGCAAGCGTAAGTGAACACTACTATTTTATATATATTTGCCCAATTTTTAAGTAATTCACAGTTACAACTTTATTAATGTTGAATTATTAACTTTTTGTTCCAGGCCGTACCTGATGAGTTGGTATGCGAAGGCTGCCAGGAGAAGGTTCTGGAAGCTGTGGGGAAGATGATCCTTGTGATGGAGGAACAGATGAGTCCTGGTGTTTCATCAGCTCTTGAAACAGGAAGAAACATCCTTCATGTCTTAGGTGCTCGTCTTGCATTATACGCTAACCTAATTTACCTAGGGATCAATAAAGTATCCATCTATCTATAAGAAGTGACAGAACAGGACCACAGATGTACAGAACTGGTGAATCTTGTTCTCTGTGTTTCCAGGGAGCACCTTGGCTGCTGTGTCTGAATCCGCCAATGCCTCCAGTTCTCACCCAGCATACTCAAGCTCTCTGCCGTCAGCCTCCACTCTCGCCCTGTCAGCAGTGGCCCACGCAGGAGCCCTCATGCGCACTCTGATGCATTCACGTGTTCATGGCGAGGATCCTCTTCTGCTCTCCACCCCTTACATCAATACAGTTGGTTTTCAAGGAGACCCCACAGACCTCCTCTGTACTCACCAGACAAACCAGTCCAACCAACACCAGGTCATCTCCTCGTCATCATCCACTGATGGGTCAAAGATATGTCCCTTTAATATCCCCACTTCCCTTACTGCTCACCTGAGGAGTCAGAGGTCAGAGGTGGTGCAGGTACTGTTCGGTACAGACGGAGCGCTTGAGGCAAACCCTATGCTGAGTGAGGCTGACCCTCCGATTTCGACCTCTCTGGTTGCCATGGAGCTCACCACTCCTCAGGGTCAACCCATACCCATCAGGAATCTGGCGCCTGAACAAGCCATACAGGTCACCCTGCCCCACAAGTACCCTGTGGGTCAGGGAGACGAGGGGGGAGATGGGAGAGAAGATGAAAACAGGAATGAGACATGTCTCACTGTAACACTCCCCACTGAAGGACAGCTGAACTTCACAGTAAAAGCTGTGGACGGCCTGAATGAAAATGCAGGTTTATACATCTCCTTCAACTTCAGTCTGCTTCCAGGTACAGTACATTATTTTTTCATTATTCTTCCTAGACCAGATCGTAAATATTTGCACTTTGAAAATGTACTCTGCTTTATTTTCATATTAATATATATAGTATAAACTGCTAATATACAGTTTTGATAACCAATCTTTCTAATCTGTTATCTGTTAAGCCTTCTTTATGATGATTACCTCCACCATTATATTTTCATCAGTGTTTCTTTGATTGGATAGATGTGGTATGGATCAGGGAAGAACTCATTACATTTTGGTGCAGATTAGGGGGCGGATCCAGGAACTTTTCTTCATCTTCTTTGACATTGTGAGATAGACAGTTTTCAAATTTTCCCAGTTTTCCAAGGGAATCATTCATTAATCTTGATGAAAGAAATCAGACATATTTAGGGAACTGATTTCTTTGAGAATATGAAATTTGGTGTGGCTTGATGGAATTTAAGGGGCAGCGGTATATGTTCTAATGAGTGCCATTCTATGTCAATAAATGTAATTGGCACAAAGTTTAAAAATTATTAGTGGCATTCCCTGAATTACCTCAATTCAGTATTTATCTACTTTAAATAATTAGTATTTTTAGTGACTGGGAAGTTGTGGTGACATTTCTTGACATGACATGAAACTTGTGGAACCATGAGAGTGAATTATCTTTAAGGTTGATCATGCAGCGCCTACGTAATTATTAATTAACCTCACCATATATATTTGAGATTCAGCATGAATTATGAATTTCCAAACTGCATTATGCATTTCTAGGGGCTACTTCTGTGAGCTTGGGATATGTCAAGATAGAAGTGAGCTCCACAGTGCCAGGGACTAATGCATCTCAGGGTTCCCTGGAGAAAGAGTGGGCTCTCACTCTCTCTGCTCCAACCACCTCCTCAGAGGAAACCATCTTTCTGTCTCCACTGTGAGTCACCAGTCTTTTCTTTAACTCAATCACTGTTTTAATGAATAAAGGATCATGACAGCATTGTCTCCTGCAACAGGTTGCACGGGACAGACGAGCCTCTGTCCATCAACCTGACCTCGTCTGTGCCTGACGGGGGGCCGGTCCATGTGTCAGTGTGTGTGTTCAGCTCTCTGTGCCAGTACTACAGCGTGAAGGAGAGGCGATGGAGCAGTGAGGGACTACAGCCTCTGGAGGGCAGCACACTCCAGGCAGCTCACTGTCTCACCCAGCATCTCACCATATTTGGGGCCAGTTTGTTTGTCCATCCTGGGGCCGTTGTTCTGCTGCCACCGGTATGTGAGAGCACTAAGGCTAAGGTTTTAGAGTCATGCAGGGATGACATATTTTAAGGCTAAACGGAATTTTTTTTTTTCATTTTCTCTTGGATTATTGCAGAAAATTAGATCTGTGACACAGGAAAGTTTATAATGCTTCAAGACAATCTTCACAAATGTGCAATATCTGTGTACATAGCCAGATTATGACTCATTTCATTAAGTCCACTAAACTATACGTCCACCGTTATTCTTCAGTGTCTTATTCAGACTGTTGTCTCATTCTGGTTAATATCAGAATATTGGTGTCCATGTAAATGTAGACATTGCCTTGAGCTTTTATAAACCACAGCCCTTATTCCTTTTAATTCATACAACCTTCAAAAAACCCACAAACTTGGTCCAAAGCCCGAAGGTTATTTCCAGGTTATGGGACTCATTCCTGCAGCACTCTGTTTCGAGCATATTTTTGGATCATATTTCATATGTTTTGACAAATAACTAATCTATTCCCCAAATACAGACTGAGGATAAGAAGGTGTATATTCATCAACAGGCTCTTTGTGTGTCTTATCTCTCCAGTCAGGTGGTCCCATGCGTAACTCAGTGGTAGGGATTGTGTGTGCTGTCCTGGTTCTGACTCACCTGCTAGTGGGGCTCATCGCCCATAAACTGGACCACCTGGACAGTTTAAGACTGAGCCAGGTCCCTCTATGTGGCCGTCCAGGACTGTACCACTACAGAGTTCTGGTCAAAACCGGCTGGAGGCACGGAGCAGGTCAGCCAAAGACAAGAGACGTAGAAATAAAAACTGTACGACATAAATAAAACTAGTGAGGGCATGTTCATGTTTATATAAATGAAACCTCTGACTATTTATGATCTAGATGTTTTTAATGCCGTGGTATAACCCTTTAGGCACCACAGCTCATGTTGGCATCAGTCTGTACGGTGTGAACAAGAGCGGCTCTCGCCATCTGCAGAGGGATGGAGCTTTTCAGCGCGGAAGCCTGGACCAGTTTCACCTGGAGACAGATGACAACCTGGGGGAAGTCTGGAAAATACGCATCTGGCACGACAACACAGGTACACTATGATAATAAACGTCTTTCAAAGTTATTTGCTACTGCACTGATTATTTTCTAATAAAGATTACCTAATCTAATATAATCTGAAAGATTAGGATTAAAAAACTATTTAGTGCCATCTAGTGCCATATAACCAATTTAATTGAGCTTGTCTCACTCTATCTCCCTTGCACATAGGAGAACACATAGAGTCCTTCAGATAACATAAAAACACAATGCCCTTTCTAGAACTAAGTTTTAGTTTTTCTTTCTCCTTTAGAAATATGACAGGGAACTGCTAAATTAAATAACTAACACCAATGAAAACATTATACAATTTCTGCCAGTATACCTCTGCCTTAAATCCTACACAATTAGCCAATATCAAATTTCCATATTGCTTCTTTAGAAAACACATGCTGACATATTTTGCAATTGTAAAGTAAAAATAAAGATTTTCATCAGAAGTTTAACTGGATTTTTGGGATTTCATATCTGTAAACATAGGTCTGGACCCCTCCTGGTACATTCAGCATGTGGTGGTGTGGGACCCTCAGACAGACCACATGTTCTTCTTCGTACTGGAGGACTGGCTCTCTGTGGAGAATCAGAAGAATGAGACTGTGGAGAAGGAAATTCTGGCCTCATGTAAAAAAATGTTCTTACATGCTGCAAAAAATATCTCATATTGCATGATGCTGGGTGCTCTTTCATTCGAGCTTTTTCTCTGTCAGTACAGATGACAAGCAATTCATCTCTTTAGAGAAACAGAGAATTTTTCAATTCTTCATTTTTTTCCATGCAGGTCCAGAAGAGCTCAGTGGGTTTCGACGGATCCTCACCTCCCAGCTGATGTTCGGGGTGATAGAGCGCCACCTGTGGCTGTCACTGTGGGAGCGTCCTGCTCACAGCCGTTTCACCAGGGGTCAAAGGGTTACCTGTGGCGCCCTCATGCTGCACCTCTACTTGGCATTGGGGGCTCTGTGGTTTGGGGCTGTGGGCTCCAAGGGGATCAGGTTAGATGATTTAAAGGCTGCAGTGAAAAATGTAAATCCTTCTAGAGCAGGGTATTAATAATGTGTAATAATACATCACAAACGCAGGATTTTGTTTAATTAAGTCAACACACTACAAATAATTTAAGATTTCTCTAAAGATTCTGCTGAGTTGACAGGAGGAAAACGATGTGTGTCTCTTTTCCACAAGTGGACCGGTGTCAGCGCAGCTGCTGATGAACGTGGAGACGGTTGCCGTGGGGATGACTGTTGCAGCACTGGCGTTTCCTCTTCAGTGTTTCCTCTGTTTCCTGTTTAGGAAAGCTCATAGTCAGGTAACTGGAAACAGTTAAAACGGTAACGGAGACATTTTCATACATTTTACTATTAAAATAGTTTGCTGGAGAGATTTGATATATTGTGACACAGTATATATATATATTCATATTTATGATGAACAGATCGTTAGGGTTTGTGCCTCTGTGTTCTTACACGTGCCATCGGTGTGCTGCTGATTAGAGGTCATTGCAGCAGTGTGTTGCTTTGCTTTGTTCTATGCTTTGTTTGTCAAACAGTTTTATCTCAATGTGGAAACAATACAAGTGAGTGTTTCCTATTTATCTTTAGTTACACTGATAAATGTTCAGCGAGCAGGTGTGTGTGTTGTGTCGTGTTGTGTCTGTCTATCTGTGTGTGTGTGTGTTTGTTCCAGATATTTCTCATGTTCTGAGGACCTAAATCTGTTTACACAGTCAATTAATGGGGACTTGTCTTCCTCATGGGGACAAAAATCAAGTCTCCATAATGTAAATCATTACAATTTAAGGTGAAGACATGTTAGGCAAGTACTAACTATGGTTAAGGTTAGAATACATCTCCAGGAAATCATTTTAAGTCAATTTAACGTCAATCTGCTGTGTGTGTTTGTGTGTTTTTGTGTAACCCAGGTAACCGTGGACATGTCAGTCCCTCCTTCTCCCGTTTGTCACTCTGTGGAGATGGACAATAACCTTGGCCAATCAAAGCTCTCAAGCTCGTCACTCTTGTCTCTGCCAGACTCCTCCAGCCCATTCCGAGAAAGTCCTTCATCGGTGAGAGCAACACACACAAATGTGGACACACACATTTTCGTTACCCTGCTCCTGTTTCGTTTCTAAGGATAACTTTGCAAGTGTTTCTTGTAATTGTCTGTAGTTACTGGAGAGCAAGGGGTTTGACTCCAGTATCCTGGACTTCTGGGCTGCCTCTGGCTTGGCGCCCCAGACAGACAGAGATGTGGTGACATGGCCGTCCTGTGACAGCCTCCTCAATCTACCAGACGACTTATGTCCCACCAAGATGACCTCAGCCCACGAACTCTGCAAGTCTTCACCCACTCTGGGCCCTACACGCCAACTGAGGAGGAAAAAGGCCCTGATGCAGCTGTGTCTGGCCTCACCCTCCTCCCCACACACACCCATCACTCTTGTCCCTTCATCTCACAAGTATCCCCTTTCAAAAGAAACTTCAGAATCTTATCCCTCCCCTACTGCAGCAGACCAGGAGGTGCTTACCGTGAACGCACACCCGGTCCAAACTCACAACCACCATCTGATATCTTTTCTTACTCTGTCTGGTGAGAAATCAAATATTCAATGATGGAAACAAGGATTTATTTATTACCTATATCTAGTCTTTGTAACCAGCTTCTATATTATCTCGTCAAAGTTTATAATTCATTGTTTCCTTAAAAATTAAAATGTTTCCAACTTTTAATTGGAAGATTGAAGGTTAATCAGGAAAATGAATGAGTCTAATCGTATATTTACATCCCTGGTACCAGAGGAGGATCTGCTGATGTCCATAGCAGCAGCAGCAGCGGAGGACACTACACACAAAACCAACAGTAACTCAGACAGCGGCCGGGATTCACCCAGAACCACATCCTCATATACAGCCACGTAAGCTTTGCTACTTTTCATGCAGATGCATTTTCATGCAGAACTTTATATATTTGTGTTTTTCTCCCTTTAGACAGAGCACCTCCTGCAGCAGCTGGTCAGATCAGAGTGAGGATAAGTCCCTGTGTGGAGCAGAGATCCTCATGCCAGACTCCCAGTCCTCCTCCCAATACGGGACAGGACTCTACAAGTGTCCCTCTGTGCTGTCTGTTGACTCAGTGGCCAGCACCTTCCTGCCGAGCCCTTCTCCTGACTCTACTCGCTCCACTTCCACCACACGCATAGGTACCATCATCACTTCCTTGTAACCATTTGTCCATCTCTTTACCATCTTAAGCAATTTCTTTTAGCTGATAATTTTTCTTTCTTTTTTAAAAATGTGTACATTTATTATATCTGGTGTTTGTGTCTCTTGCTTAATTCCTCCACCCCAGGCGTTTCTCGAGGTCAGCCCTGCTGGCTGCTCCCCCGCTGGACACTGCGTGTGATTTACCCCCTGGTGGCTGTTCTGCTGGGAGCTTGCTTGGCTGTGGTTGGACTCTACGGCCCGTTCTTCTCCAGAAATGTAGTTCTCATGTGGCTGATATCAGCCTTCTCTGCTTTCCTCACCTCTGCTCTGCTGCTGGAGCCTCTCAAGGTGAGTTCAAACATGTCATCCAATTAACTTGTGTAGGGTAGATCTTTGGTGGATAGTTGCTTTGATTTGCCTCCGTCCTGCTCGCTCAGGTGTGTGCGCAGGCACTCATCTACACGGTACTGTGGAGGCCTGTGGATCCAGAGGTGGAGGACCAGCTGTCCCAGGAGACCACTGTGGTGAGGGCATTTGGAGAGCATAGTGCAAAGGTTCGACCACCATGTGGTTACGGGCTGCTGCAGGCTAAAGATGAGGCGCGCAAAGTTCGAGCTCTGCGAACACTGATGAGGGTGAGAATACAGTCAGATTTCAAAGTGCACTATTTTCTCCAGAGGGATTAAAAAATGTTTTGATCATTTTAATCTATGTCTTTTATCTAGCACTGTGTGTGTCAGCTGTTGTTTCTATTACTGGTGCTGATGGTGAACTACCAGGATAGTGTAGAAGAGAGGCAGGGCAGGCTGCTGCAGTCTGCTCTCAGATGCCATCTTCGTACAGCACCCTTGGGAGCCCCTAACCTCACTTCACTTACAGAGTAAGGACAACACTCACTCATGTTGATAAAACACTTCACACCAAATACAACCACAATAAAAAATACAGAGAATGCAGCTTTTCCCACAAGACAAATATGGTCTCTGTATGGTGGACTCTGTATCTTTTTCATGTAAAATTCTGCACATAATCAAAGCCAGACAAAAAAAAGAAACTTCAGAATTACTTCTGTTTGTGTTTCTTACTTTAAACTTTCATTATAAAGCACTCTTTGTTGTGTAATCTAAAAAGAAATGAAATACTTTACATAATAAAGCAGCCTTTCTAGTGCTCTATTAATACAGTGCTATACATAACTGCATCAACTTTTTTGTTGTGCATGGAAAAACAGGCCAAGTACAAGACATCTTGTGATAATTAGATTTTTCTGCTCTCATTTGAAAAAGTTATTTGGGATGCAGACAAAATGAGACAATCCAATACAGCATGGATTTAAGGATATTGTTGCATTATAATTTATATTATGTTACTGTCTCCAGACAGATTCCATGAAATGGGAACCAGCAATCTATTATTCCACTTCTCTCAACCCAAAGCTCTGTCATTTCCACTGATCAATCCAACATAGTTTTTTGTTTTCAGGCTCAGTCTTTTCTTCAAACAGCTGGGCACTGTAGTTTTTAGCAAATGTTACTCAATGAATGCAATGGACGCTGTTGCTCAGTAAGTTTTTTGGGGGCAGAGGTTACATTAGCTGCTTTCAGACATGCACTGAACTCCACTGATCCTCTGTATTGTCTCTGGAGGAGGTGCATGTGTGAACGCAAATAGAGAGGCTCCTTAGTTTCTATGGACTTTGTCTGCCTGGCCTTCTAGTATTAATCCCTAAATAGTCAGGATGATTCAATGTGTGAACACAGCAGGGGATCCCCCGCTGGATTCACCGTGAGCAAGTGGAGGGGTTGATGATGCAACACATGCAAAAATGAAAAAAACAAATATAGAACAAATATTTCCCAGTGAGAAAGCAGTGTCATTCACCGAGAAGGCACAGATGAAGATTTCAGAGTTTGTGATGATAAGAGCTGACACTAGTGTCTGTGTGTTTTTGGAGATAAATAATCAGAAACTCTTCTCTTCTCTCTTCATCCAGCTGGTCAGACGCAGAGCAGTGGATAAATCACACCTTGGTGCCAAAGCTGCACCAAAACCCGTCACTTCGTCTGGTGGGTTTGCCACGGCTGCAGTACACACATGCGCTCGGCCACATGACAGGTATCCTCCTGGGAAACAGCAGTGAGAGGACGCGTCAGCTCCTTGCTGACCTGCACATGATGGACTGGGGCAAGAAGATGTGAGTGGATTTGTTACAGATTCAACACCTTCAAGATGTTCTGAGGTGTTCATGTAAAGCTTTGTTTTCAATTTTTGCTCGAGTGCTGAATTACCTTTCTGACAGTAATGAGGCGTGTCAGCCCATTAAAGCATCTTATCTTCTGAGAACAAATAAAGCAATACGAGATGACAAAATATAATTTGCATAATATGATTTAATGTCCTTGTGTAAAATATTTTACCATTTAAAACACTCTCCATTTTCTGGTGTCACAGTTATCTGTGGTACAACTTTTTTTGATGAGCCTTCCCCCTTTGTTTTCAGCCAAATGGGTTTTATATTGAATTCTATACATTATCATATTGACGTAAAATTGTATATAATCTCATTTAAAAGTTATTTTAATAACATTGACTTTGATTTGTATTTTTTTCTCTCTTTCAGGTTTCAATCTCTTTCTATTGATTTCACACACTATAACAGAGACTCTGGTTTGTTTGTGTGTGTGTCCATTCAACTACAATGGGCTCAGACACAAAGAGTCACTGCCTTCCTCTCCATCCATCCACTCCTCATCCCTTCGCCCTTGTCTGGATTGGACTTTCGGGTGGCACTCACGGTAACATTTACAGCATACCTTCAAACCACAGACTGTATGTAAAGAAAGACGGCATCTCTCTCACTTCCTCCCACTATCCAGAAATGAAGCCAAAATATCACATAAACGAACATTGCCATCTTGCTCAATTGTAGCATGTCCAGTAGCAATCAGGGATGGAGCCAAAGTAGCAGATCGGTCAGTCCCAGCCGTCAATCATGATGTATCACATCAAATGTCTAGTTAAATCTAAACTTAAATGGAGAAATTAAGCTGGATAAACATCAGTGTGATAAGAACTATGTTAAATGTCAAAACCATGTTTGAGAACATTTTATTTGTAGTCAACATTGACATTTTAGTTAAGTTCATGTCCAATTCACTTACATGGAGGAGGCACGGTTTGTAAACTAAACCACAGTCAGCCACCAGGTGGTGATCAAGATGCTTTGGCTTTTGTTTCTAGGAGCAGTCATGTGGTTCATTTTTATTTACAGTTTGTGTTTCAAATACAAAGAAAGAACAAGAAATGAAGAGCAATATATTCTTAAGCAAAATCATTTCATAGATGGTTGATGCTTTGACTTTGTTTTACAGGTTCTCCTTCTCATCTCTGCTCTCCTCCTCTTGTTGTCGGAGCTGTGGTCCATGGTTACTGAGCATGCTCAGTATCTGCATCACTGCAGACACTGGTTCCAGCTTTTCCTGGCCTTGTTGTCATTGGCGACAGCTATCCTGCAGTTCTGCTTCCTGTCTCATGCCTCTTCATGTGTTTCCGAGGTAAAAAAAAAAAAAAAATCATTTTTGGTCCACTGACCGCACCTTCTGCATCATTGTAAATTATAAACCTTCTTACGCGCTGCTCTTTGTAGACTTAGTGGTAGAAATGAAATATTGATATTAAAAATACCCTTAAAGTAGAAGTTGATGACTCTGTGCATGGCTCTGACGGCCTTATAATAACCAGTACCTTCCATTTAGCTTCGTAACCAACCAGACAACTTCATCAACTTCAACAATGCAGCCCTTCTGGCACAGAGGTCGTCTCAGTGTGCTGCTGTTCTGCTCACTCTGCTTGTTCTAAAGGTAAATGAGAGCTCTGATTCATTATTAAACAACAGCACTGCTCCACACAGTTTAATCGTTGTTTTAAATGTCTACTTGATTCCACTGCTGTGTGTTCCAGCTGCTGGGAACCCTGAGGTTTGTGCGGCGGTGGCTGGTGATAGGCAGAGTGCTGCAGAGAGCCTGGGGGGAGCTGTGGGCTCTGACTGTCCTACTGCTGCTTCTGCTCATGCTCTGCACTCATCTCGGACACATGGTACCAAAAGAAAAGCTTGACTGAGTAGAATATTTATGAAGAAGAGATGTATTTAATTTAGCTTCGTCTTTGTTTCAGCTCTTCTCCCAGTCAGTGGAAGGCTTCCAGTCTGTACACGAGGCCGGTGTTTCAGTGCTGTCCGTCCTACGTGGCCGAATAGCTCGCCAAAGGCTATTCAAGGTTCACACAGTCCTGGGACCCCTCCATGGACTACTACTAATGGGGGGAGGTGTCTGGCTATTGGCTAGACTTGGTGGAGCTGTTCTCATCCGTGCATACAGGTACTTTATACAGAATCTTGCCCAAGTGCTTGTTTGCATTTCAGATTTCTCTAGAAGGTGCAAGTGATGCATGAAATCACAGGAGTGCGTTTATGGAGGTGGAAAGGTTTGAGAGATAAAAAGCAGAGTCATGTCGGCAGGTCTGTAAGGCTCTACTGAGCTGCAGTGTTAGTTTGAGTTGTAATGACAGCCTTCTAACATGCTCACAGTGACATTAACACACTAATGTGTAGCATGTATAATGTTTATAATTCATGCTCACCAGCTGGGATTGATGTTAGTGTGCTAACAATTAGCATTGACGACCAATTACAGTGAGGCTGTGGGAATAACTTTAGTATTATTAGTTAAACAAGTTAGACTGGGGTTTTGGGTAAGGGTTACGGTTTGTCATCAGGCCCTCCTTCCCTCTGGGAGCCATAAAAATCTGTACAAAATCGATGTAATGTTGACAATCTCTATTTTACAATAGAAGTCAAATTGCTTAAGTCATGTAGGTTCATCCTCTGGGAAACATGAATATTTGTGCAAGGAGGCTGAAGGAGCTGCAGCTGGACTGCATGAGGAAAGTGTTTTCTGGGCATTTCAGCATGTAGCCCAAATTAAAATGATGAACTTGAATATTAGCATTACATATATCATTTAGGAGTAAGTTTTGTAGATTTTAGTAGTGCATTAAGAAGGTTTCATTACTTACTGTTGTTACTGTGCTATAGAGCAGAGCAGGCTGAGCTGTACCATCCGACCATTGAACCTCAGGATTATGAGATGGTGGAGTTTTTCATCAAGAGACTTAAGCTGTGGATGGGACTCAGCAAGGCTAAAGAGGTAAATAGTGCTTGGATTTGGGGCATTTTGTTGATGACTGAGTATTTTAGCATCTTCTGTTGCTGATTCCACACATTTCTTTTCCTTTCTAGTTCAGGCACAGTGTGAAGTTTGAAGGCATGGACATCCCTCCCTCCAGATCCTCCCAGGAATCCCGTCTGTCCACTGTTTCATCCACTCTCCCCTCCTACCGCTCCCCTTCCCTGTCCTCCTCATTCTCATCACCCCGTCCCCTGTCCTCGGCTCTGTCTGTGAGATCAGAGGACTCATCGGTGTCTGAGTCTGGGTTTGACGTGTCGCCCTACCTGGACCGCCTGCTCCCCAGTGTCAGTGCTCTGCTGTCTCATTTCGATCGGGTCAATCAGATAACCGAGGATGTTCACAACCTGGAAATAAAGCTAGAGGAGGCTCAAACCAGGAGGAGGAAGAGGTGGATCAGTAACGACAAGCAAAGTGCGGAAAGATTCAAAGAATCAGCAACAAACCCAAAGGAACCAGAAGCAGGAATGAACACAGGAGAAATTAGACACAGGAAGACAAGTCTTCTCTACCCAAAGCCACGAGTCTCCCTCCCATCCTCTTTTTCTTTCAATCTGTCTACGCTTCACTCCTCGGCTGCATCACTCTGCATCTTTCCCCGCACAAGAGGCTCCTGTTTTGAATCTCATTCAGTCTTGCCTCCGGTGTCTAGTGACAAACATTCTTCTGATGCAGCCAATTCTGCATCTGGAATCTGTGGTTTGTATCCTGCAGGTTCCCTTAGTTTTGGGGAGTTCCCCAGGAGAAGAGCTTGGCATTCTGGGAGTTCTCATTCAGCCGATGCAGCTCAGAGAGCCTTCCAGTTCTCAGGAGGACCTCCCCCATGTGGAAATGGAGGAGGAAATTTAACGTACATGAACGACAGACCCAGGAGCGAAGAAGGGGCAAAAAGGCGTATCAGTGATGGAGTCCCTGTGAAAAGGAAGGCTTGGATCTCTGAAGGACCAGAGAGTGAACAAGACTGACCCTGTGTACTCAGAAAACTAATTCAGTTCACTCACTCATCAGTTTACTACCTTCACCAAGGTGTTTCTGTGTTGGGAGGTGCAGCTTGATTGAATTTAATGGGACTTGTGGGCCTTGGTGGAGGTGATGCGCTCTACTGAGTTTCATTCTAGTGTTTTTATCTGCGCAGAAACTACTGGACTGATTTCCATGGACTTTTGTTGAGGGGTTGGACACAACCAAAGGTAGAACCTATTAATCCTGATTAACAAGAAGATCCAGGGATTTCTTTTTAACTTTCTCTAACCTGGTTTTAGTCTTGGAGGAGGAATGAGGGCCCTTCTCACAGGTCCCACAACCTTAAGAGATGCAACATTAAATCCCTGGACCAAAAATATTGCATATTTAAAGAGACACTGTATACTTAACTGGATACTTAACTCTACAGACAAATAAAGACAAGTGACCACATGGTCTGAAAGTAGGTTCATGTTTCGTTTATTTGATCTGTTTTATAAATAACAGAGAAACAGCGTTTTGCTACGAGTTGCAGCTATATTACTATAGTCATTTGTAGATTTAACCAGAGCACCAACAAGTTGGGAATGAGAATCATCAATTATTGCTATCAGTGTGCTAGAGCAGGAGTGACAACACCATATTCACTACTGTGCTATACTGTAAAATACAGAGATTTGGCTGGTGCTGATCGGCTTAATCAGTATGATGTGAGCTTGTTTGGTGAGTGCTTGAATGGAACAGATTTTTATGATGTAAAAGTCCTACACTCCAGAGTGATAGCGCAGTTCTATGATTATTTTATCAGTTTTAATTCAAATAATTACTTATCTAAAGGAAAGACCTTGACCAACAAGTAAACACATGAGCACAAACACTGTCATTACCAAGAATGTGTGTGTGTGTGCGCGTGTGTGTGTGTGTGTGCCCAGGCAAAATAAATTAAAGCAACACGCAAATGCAGAAAGTGCTGGCAAAAAGTGAACAGATTTATAAGAACTACATTTTATCTCTAACATCATTTCCTGTGACCTTGCAAAGAAACGCTTGGCTCTCACTTGTCAGCACCTTCAACATGGACATGTGCTGCAGACACATCCAAGTTTTTTCTGAAAGTTTGCTGTCCTTCTTTTAATCACACAACTGATTGTTGTGAGGTCAGTGATTTGATTTTTCCGTGCCTTATCTTTACTTATTATTTGTCGGGGTGTGTTGTGTGTGTTGTTGCCTTATCATTGTGCAATGGTAAAATGTCAGTCCACCTGTATAAAAGGAGGCGAGTCCGTCTCCTGTCTTCAGTCTCCAGTATACAGGTGAGTAACATGATCAAAGACATGCTATCATTTCTATTGCAGCATTTCACTGTAATATCATCAACCTCAGAGTGACAGGAGTCAGATTTGAGATACTTTATCTTCCACAGTTGACAGCAGCGTCGTGATGATGAAGTGGGCCTTTGTTGTGTGTGCCATGGTGGCACTGTCCGAGTGCCTTATCCAGTAAGTAGACTGCACCACTTAAACCTTCACGTTTGTCTCGATGAGCGGTGACTCCAGTAGCAGCACACACACTTTTTTGCAAAATGTTTTATAAAGTAGAAGCTTCCTGACAACCTAAACCATGCATTCCGAGCCGATTCAACCACTGGCACAGGTGGCTGCTTTGGCCAATGGTTCAAATGGTGTGTGTGAGAGAGAGAGAGAGAGAGAGACAGCCACGGGGCAGAAGGAGTTAAGTTTTAAGCATAGATTTGAAAATGAGCACGGCTTTTCTACTCATGAGCGGTCGCTGGTATTAGGGAGCCGCCCACCTTTGGTTTGAGGTTGCTCTTGTTTTTTTAATGTAAATGTCAGGATGCGGAGATCGCTCAAATAGTTTACTCCATGTTAGCTCTGGCTCTGCAAACCCCAAGACTGTTTGAAAACACTTTGTGGCGTTATGTTCCATCTTTGGCATTATTCTAGATTTTTTTTAATTTTATTTAAATCAATAAAACGTTTATAAGAGGTAAAGAATTGAAATTGCTGTCGTGTGAATCCTAGGGTCCCTCTGGAGAAAGGTAAGACTGCCAGGGAGTTCCTGGAGGAGCAGGGTCTGTGGGAGGGCTACAGGCTCAAGTACCCATACAACCCCATGGTCAAGTTTGACCAGCGCTTTGCAGTGGGCGACCAGTCCATGACCAATGACGCTGACGTAAGTAACAGAGGCTCAAGCCTAAACAGACCAACGTTTACAAATGTGTGATTTTGGTCCTGAGTCACCTTTGTAACTCCTCTTCGTCTCCAGCTGGCTTACTATGGAATCATCTCCATCGGAGAACCTCCTCAGTCCTTCAAGGTCGTCTTTGACACCGGCTCTTCTAACCTGTGGGTGCCCTCCATCTACTGCAGCAGTCCAGCCTGCAGTATGTAAAACTGTACATGCATATACACCTTAATAAACCTTTAACACACAGATGTTAGATGACTGGTGGGAGGTTCAGTAACAACGTTAGAAGGTTATGTCTTCTAATTTGAAGGTGTTCCCATCATTAGAAGATTACACTGGTTGCCTGTGAGCACCAGAAATGATTGTAAGATTTCCGAACTTGGGTTTAGGTTTTTGGACTTGTAGTGGTCAGAAGGTATGTCAGCTTGGAAGGATCTGAAAGAATCTGCTAATTTAGGCTGAATAATAGAAGAATAGTCAGATCACACAGGGAAACTAAAGACAGAAGGGTTCTGATGTGTCTGAGGCAGGTGTCTAAGAAGCGATGAGCATAGTTGAGGTTATGCTAATATATATTTTTTGCACATTTTGTAACTGCCTAGACAACCATGACAAGTTCAACCCTGGCCAGAGCAGCACCTACAGGAACAACGGTGGTTCTCTCAGTATCCGCTATGGCACCGGCAGCATGACCGGCATCCTTGGATACGACACTGTGACGGTGAGAAATAACAATATCTAAAGTAACAGTACAGTAAGATTTTGAACTGCTGTACTTACACATTGATTATTCCTTTGTCATGTTCAAAAAGCTACTCTGATAAATTGAAATTGCTGCAGCAGAATCTCATATTTCATAGTTTGTTGCAAGATGTCTCGTGATCTTGTGAGTTTGAGATGATTTAAAATCCCTTGATGTCTTGATGTCTGGTTTTCAGGTGGGTGGTATCTCTGTGAAGAACCAGATCTTCGGTTTGAGTGAGTCAGAAGCTCCCTTCATGCAGTACATGCTTGCTGACGGTATCCTGGGCCTGGCCTACCCACGCCTGTCTGCCTCCGGCGCTACACCTGTCTTCGACAACATGATGAGGGAAGGTCTCGTCGACCAGGACCTCTTCTCCGTGTACCTGAGCTCGTAAGGACACCATAGTTTTGTATGTAGGGACAGAGGACATACTTCTGGATGTCGAAGAACCGTACAGCATTCTAACATTTTCTTCATAAACTTTTACAACTGAGATTTTTAGCATGTATATCAGTACATTCTCGCTTTCCACTATAGTAACTCTCAGCAAGGTAGCGTGGTGACCTTCGGTGGTATTGACTCCAACCACTACAGTGGCGCCATCACCTGGATTCCCCTCTCCAACGAGCTGTACTGGCAGATCACAGTGGACAGGTAAAGCCAAAGTTCAAAATCCATGCAGACATTGGTAATGTGATAAAACGGCCAAAGGTGTTTGACACGTGTCTTTACTTTCTCCACTTCAGTGTCACTGTCAATGGTCAGGTTGTGGCTTGCAATGGTGGTTGCCAGGCCATCGTGGACACTGGCACTTCCCTGATCGTTGGACCTCAGAGCAGCATCAGCAACATCAACAGATACGTGGGAGCTAGCGGCCAGAACGGAGACGTAAGTGTAATTCTTCTGTATTTACAGTTGAGTAAAACTATATTTTGATGCTCTCTCATTTCGTTCACTTTCTTTTCTCTCTCCCTCTGCAATCAGTATGTTGTCAACTGTAATAACCTTAGCCAAATGCCTGATGTGACCTTCCACATCCACGGACAGCAATTCACTCTGCCAGCCTCTGCCTACGTCCGTCAGGTAAGTGTTTATTTCCCTTCCAGCCTGTAGCATTTTCCCACCTCACTGTCTGAAACTCTTCTCCTGAATCCTTCCCACAGTCCCAATACTTCGGCTGCCGTACCGGCTTCGGCAACGGAGGTGACAGCCTGTGGATCCTGGGGGATGTCTTCATCAGAAAGTATTTCTCCATCTTCAACAGAGCCCAGAACATGGTGGGTCTGGCTCAGGCTAATTAATAACCTAAGTCAACTCTCAGCAATCAGAAACCACAGCCTTTCGGCAATTATAAACATATCCTAGTACAATAGCAAGACTTTGAACATGCATGATTTCCAATGTAACTGTAATATGTGATGCTGGAGACTCAAATCTATTCTCTGTCTTATAAATGATTCCATTTTCTCTCATCGAATAAAAAGAGTTAAATCACTTTGACTTGAGTTTTGTTATTGAATTGTACCACAAACAGACACGACTAAATCTGTGTGGACAGTGAGCTACCATGACAACTTAAATAAGATGGCACCACAACAAAACGTGCATGCAACAGACTAACTGTGTAACTGAGCACACTGGACGTTCCAGTCTGTCTCATCTAGATTGCACACTGTAACATAAATCTCTAATGTGTTACAAAATGATCAGTAAACGTAAGGTGAGCAACAGAAAAGAGATAACCTAGTGAAAACAACTACACACTACACCTGTTGTACCTTTTCTTGACAGTTCAGGGTTTGATTCCATTTGATTTTTTGAATATCGGTTCAGTTCAGGATATTTCAGTGTACAATACCAATTCTGCTTGAAATTGAAAGAAATTCTCAGTGAATGAGAGTAAACTGCAAGAAAACCTCCATTCTTAAAAATATTAAGGAAGGCCCTTCACAATTCAGTGTGTGTAAACACGTCTCCCATTGACGTCAACACTTTTCAGGTCCTTGTGATGAGTGCTTCAGATTAGTGGATAGATGTACTCTTTAGTCCTATACAAAGCCTTGTAGGTTGAACTTCCAGACAATGTGATGCATGTGCACATTTAACTTTTAATTCCAAGTATGAATGAATTGTCAGATAAGTCAAATCTCAACTGATTGAGTTATTCATGGTTGTGGTCAGCAGCTGGATCTGACTGACACAAGCCTGCAGAGTGTCTTTACTCACCATACTTGCTGGACTGAGAGTGAATGTTAAAGGTATGAGGAAGTGACTCCAGATATTCTTCATAAAGCGGTCTACTTCCTCGTTCAGTAGGCTTCAGTGGCAGAACCTGTTTCACAACAACAGACTCATGCCTGTCTTTCTTACCGGAGTCCTACGAGATCATCATAGGTCAAATAACCACTGCAGCTTTCTGAGGAGCACCACAGGACGATGACCACAACTCTTCTCTGAACCCACTGCAGGGGGTAAAGAAATCCAGGAAGGCCCAGGATTACCATAACACAGTGAGTGGTGGTTTCACTTATCTTCTGACCTTTATGTCAGCTTTGTTTTAAAATGAATTGACTCTGTGCTGTACAGCCATCATATTATATTTGCAAATTGAGTTTGAGATGTCTTTTGTAGAAACTGAAATGTCTGCAGAAGACGACACGGGGAGAGGACAAGCCCCAAGCTACTGTGACTGGATGTCGCAACTACCAGATGAACTACACAACATTCCTCTCAGCAATCTGGCCATACCAGGTATGAAGCTGAAACAATTTTCACTACGGGCCAGAGATGTTGACCTCATGTGGTATTATGGGAAAAGTCAAAGGATCAACACAGTCATTCGGATTATTCCTTTGTGAATAATAAATGTCTACTAATTTGCATGGCGATCAAAATGGCAGGACAGGTTTTTCCGTCTGGACAAGCGATGGGCCGACCAAACAACCGACAGAACGGCGGTTCGACAAACCAACAACGAGTTCTAAATGACCACAAATGGTTTTCACTGCTCACTGACCACGTTTGTTTGTGTGTATGTTTTGTAATTCCTAGGAAGCCACGACTCAATGACTTACGATTTGGACGTCAGCTCCTCTATCATAGAGCCTGATAACCTGAAGGGATTGAGCAAGATTTGCTGTGCACGTCGAATTGTGCGCAAGTGGGCCGTCACTCAGGTGAGGGGAGTTTACAACCTGTCAGTGCTGGATGTGTTGGAGCCTATGGAAGAAAAAGAGAGGGGGGATGTAAACTGTTGTGGTGGCTTGTGTTGCAGGAGGAGTCCATCACAAAGCAACTGGATGCAGGAGTTCGCTACTTTGACCTGAGGATCGCTCGCAAGCCAGACGACACTGAGCCGACGAGGCTTTACTTTTATCATGGGCTGTGTACACGGACTGATGTGGAGGTAAAGAAAAGAAATGAGAAACATAATCACAAGAACACTTCCGCTTACATATGTGAATATTTAAGAGTAAATCAGCCTTTGTGGATCCGTAGTCAACGGAGGAGCTTTGTGGGTTTATTCCTGTTTTTAGAATCCATCTGCTTAACAATTCCACAATGTCTGTCTTTCTGTATGTATGTGCAATACATATCAGGTGAACTGTTCCTATTTGCCTGAGAAAGCACACAATTTGGACATGTGATACATTCATTATTAGTAAAAATAGAACAAACAGGTTCAGTCAGTCTGTGAACCAAGTTGAACACGTCAGACTCCTGTCAGATCTCTTGGAAAATGTAGCTACATCATGTGACCATTTTAGTAGAGGATTTAAATGATCCCCGAAGGTGAAATAAGAGCTTCCGTTTAAATAAGAAGTACTACAGAAGAGAAGATTCCAGGTGTTTTATGAATTCCCACTCTGCTGCTGTGGTCAGACTGTTCTCAGGATGATTCATGACTGGGCAGAGAAACACCCCAAAGAGATCCTCATCCTGGCCTTATCCCACTTTAAATTCCCCAAAGAGAACGAGGAGCAGCTCCACATCCATCTCATCGGTTTCATCAAGACCTTGTTTGGATCCAAACTTCTCCATAGAGCGGTAACAATACTTAATCTTTGTATTAATCCAAACATATCTTGTCCCTCACAACACTGCTTTTAAGTCAAAATAACATATTTCAATGTATGACAGTGGAACATTCCTTCACTGAAGAGCTGCTGGGACCAAGGCAGAAACGTTATAGTTTCATATGATTATTCGGCAAATCAGCACCCTGAGATGTGGGGTAGGATACCGTATTGCTATGGTAATAGTATGGACCCTGCAGAAGTGGAATCAAAACTCCGCCAGGCTTTAGAAAAAACACGGTCTTCTCAAGGTGAGTTCTCTGTGTTCCTGCCTCTCATCTGGTTGAGTATGCTGTTGACAAACACATGTCCCAGCTGTATGTGTGTGTCCCGCTTCCCCGTCCCATGTCCTGCAGGTTTCCACGTATGTGGCTTGAACCTGACCCTGCCGGAAGATGCCAAGGTACTCAAGTACATCTTCCGTCCCAATGACAACTTTACGAAGGTGTTACAGAGGAGTCAGCCCACGCTGCTGCAGTGGGTGAAACAGCAAGCCGGCCAAAGACCCAACATCATCGCCTCAGATGTGGTGACTCGACACAACTTTGTCTCAACGGTTGTCCAGCTCAATATTTCAGAGTTAGTGAAAACCTAGTGGAATTCTGTCGAACGTCTTGTGATCATTCAGTAACAAACACAGTTTTTTCAGTCTTTCAGATGGACTGAAACTTTATTAATCTCATGTTGGGGAAATTCTCTGGTTACATGGCACACAGACAGAATGAGGTAGGCAAGGGAACATGTGAATGTATCAAAATATAAAATAGGCAATAGAATAGAAAATAAAAACATGAAATGAGATTTTAAAAAAATACAGAGAATATGTTGATAGTATACACCTTGTGACATTTGTAAAGAAATGTGGGTAAAGTGCAGTGGCACATGAAATGTATTTCTGCATCATGTACGAGATATTGAAATAAAATTCACTTTTACTTTAGCCGAGTACTATATTGTATATTTCTGTTAATTCATTTGTACTTTTCCTGAAGTATATTTCTTAAATTCTTCCTCCATCACTGATAAAGAAACATTGTATACTAGTGCGCCTTTTGCCCTGTTGGCGCCACCCTGTGTGGATTTATGGTATTGCAATAAAGTTGTCAACTTTACATGAGGAAGTAAACACGTTTATGTGGTACTTTTACTTTTAGCTGAGTACTATTTTGGACATTCAATTGTACTTTTCCTGTAGTGAAATACTTCAATTCCTCCTCCACTACTGATAAATAAACTTTATATACTAGTGCGCCTCTTGTCCTGCTGGCGCCACCGCGTGTGGATTTACGGCATTGCAGTAAAGTGACAACCTCACGTGTGAAAGTTGTTGGTGTCTTTACTGAGTGGCTAACGTTAGCTTAATAAGTGGCTAACGTTAGCTTAATAAGTGGCTAACTTGAGCTCACTGAGGTCACAGCGACACTCTCGGTGGATTAGGATGCTAAGACTCGCATGGCGTCGGTCGGTGTCCACAAGCAGCGGCAGTGAGCCTGCTCGCCTCCTGACTGCGGGGATCTGTGGAGCGGACAGCTGGCAGCAGAGGTCCGGGGGCAACGCGAGGGGTTTCAGACTCACTCCCCTCCCACCACCAGGCGACCAGTCCCCGCTGCTCCATCCTCAGCCGGCCCGCTTCCTCAGGTAAAACACGGCCGCTGCTAACGCTAAGTTAGCCAGAGACAAGTAAACAGCTAACACGTGAAGTGTGGCTGTGGAGACGGGACGAGTAGAGGCATGCGGAACTCCCTTAACTATAATACAGTTTAAAACTTCCCGATGCTTCAACACGGCCACTGCGCATCCTCTTGTTAACAAAGACGTCCATAGATGATCCAAATGCCTCAAGCAATAATTCGGTATTAGTTATATAAGCTGCCAAACATCCCTTATGCTCAATAACTTGCTCTATTTTGTAGCTAGTTTGCGCAGAACGTTGCACCTGCTGTAACCTTGTAATGTAGCTAACTCCCTGTGGTTGTCGTGTTAAGAACGAGCTGGATATGCGTCTATTTGTCGCATCGATTAAGCCGAATTTCAAGAAAAGGGCTGTTATTCAAATAAAACGAGTTCAGCCATGTTTTCTGGAGCTTAAATGTGTGCTGAAAAGCAACGTCATATAAAATGAGCTGATATTGAAACGGAGTTCTGCAGATCGGCTCACAGCTGCAGCGAGGCTTGAGAAGCAGCATCTGCAGGATCAGCTCATCAGGACACGGGTTAATACTATGAATGCTACTTTAAGCAACATAAGGCAGGCCAGGCTGCACACTGTCAATAAAGATTAGTTTGGATTAGACAAGGACACTGGAAATACACGTTTACCTATTTGGGGGGGATTAAAATAGCACATTGTTAACAGCAGACATTTGACTTTTCATTGCAGGAAACCCTCAGCTGTAATAATAACACTGAGCATAACACACACACGTGACTGCATCTATTGCACTGGGCTCTCCTGCTGGGACATGTCAACATCAGTCAAACTGTGGGTCTTGTCAGTGATGTATTTGTGCACTTATTTGGACACACTTATTTTGTTGACCTGTATTTGCATCAGTATTTCAGTCAGTGACTGAGCTGTACACTGGGGTTCAAAGGTCAGAGACCACTTCCTCACTCAATGGTCTCTGACCCACTGTTATGACGATTACAGCTAAATAACTAGAATACCAGTCAGAGTACATCAACCCACTTATGAAACCAGATTTAAATTCACTAGATCCAGATTTTTATTTGGATCTGCACCAAATTAGCTGAGTACTATAGTAAAAATAGTAAACTACAGTAAACAGAGAGGACCCCCCTCTTAGATAAAACATACAAGTGAAAACATCACTAGGATTAATTTATATTCAATTTCTGTCAAAAATCTCTTTCACCTAAATCTTACACACTGGACCTTTAATTAACATGTCAGTTTTCTTTCATCAAGAACCATGAATGAAAATGAGTAATGAGTTCATCAGTGGGTCATGCCCCACCCCTCCACAAACATTTATGGAAATTGGTTGAGTAGTTTTTGCTTAATCCTGCAAATAAACAATCAAACAACATCGAGCAAAACATAATTATATGAGATGATACGATTATATGATATGAGCCTTTCACAGACATATTTTATCAGTGTGTATGTTTACCTATATGGGCCAATGAAAAAATGCACAATACATATGCATTTATGTTAATATTTTATGTATAAAAGTTATAGTTTCCTTAATTCAAGTTCTATATATTGGGTTGTATTTGTATTTTCCTTTTCTTTGCAGTTTTATTTATAATAAATATGCCAATTTGAAACATATATTGAAAGTGTATTACTTTCAAATATCTGTATAGGCACCAGCCACAAAACATCTATACATCTTTATCTATATAAAATAACCAATTTCATGAAGCAAACAATTCGGCTGTAGCAGTCTGATACCTGGACTAGTGTGCACTCTATTATCAACGCCGTTTTCCAAACAGTGGGTATGTTTGTGTCCAGTCCGTCTGTCTTCATGAGCATGGCATCAGGGGGTGAAGGTCCACCCTCCACTCCTCACAGACACACCAACAGGTTAGCCAAGGAGAGGTCACCCTACCTTCTACAACATGCGCACAACCCTGTCGACTGGTGAGTGACTAAACTGCACATATGTATATATATCCTGAATGCTGATATTACACAGACCGACCTGATATTTGTTTTAGGTATCCATGGGGACAAGATGCTTTCGACAAAGCCAGGAACGAGGACAAACCGATTTTTTTATCCGGTAGGAAGCTGCTTTTACACCTGGTACAAAAGGATTGACCCTACTTTCCCTGTTCCATGTCCGCTGAGAGTTTGTACTCGCACCAGTCATAACTGGTCACATGTCAGTGCCCATGGTTCCATTCATAATAAAATGAGGGTCAAGGTCAGTCTGGAGTTCCAAGCATGGGTGCCTCAGTTCATTTTTTTAGGCGACTTCATTCCAAATTCCCTGATGCTTCAGTTTGAGAGAAGGGAATCTATCTCCTTGAAGTCCATGTAACTCATACCTAGACAAAGCTTTGATATGAGATGACGTGAACTGTCTTATTATCTGTGGATCTCTGTTCCTCCCTGACCACCAGTGGGCTACTCGACGTGCCACTGGTGCCATGTCATGGAGAGGGAGTCATTCGAGGATGAGGAAATTGGAAGAATTCTCAGCGACAACTTTGTCTGCATCAAACTGGACCGAGAAGAGAGACCTGATGTGGACAAGGTCTACATGACCTTTGTTCAGGTGTGTGCACACTTGTTTTCTCCGGTAGATCTTTCTTATCTCTCTTCTTCAGCTAATGTTGTGTCATGTCTTTTGGTTGCTAACATCTGTAGGCAACAAGTGGAGGTGGAGGATGGCCCATGAGCGTTTGGTTGACCCCTGATCTTAAACCTTTCATTGGAGGCACCTACTTTCCTCCTAGAGACCATGGGAGACGACCTGGACTCAAGACAGTCCTGTCCAGAATCATGGAACAGGTAAACAGGCTTGTTTGTGTTGTGTGTGTCAGCACAGATAGTCTTGACGTTTCTTTTTTAAACCTTTAGATGGAGCAATGTGAGCAGCTTCCCCTTGCTTTTAGCCTTAATGCTGATTTGGGCTAACTGTCTCCTGGCCTTATATTTAATGGGTGGAAATGACAGCGGTAACGATCTTTTCAGCTCACCCTTGGCAAGAAAATAAGTGGGCATATTTCCCGAAATGGTAAATTGTTCCTTTAAGCAACACTTATTATTATAATTACATTTAATTTCGCAGATGTAAGTAATATCAGTGGGCTAGAGGGGGCAATGCAGCAGCAGAGGAGGACAAAGTGAACAAATCCAAATCTCTTATCATCTTAAAGTGTGTTCATGTTTATGACGTCCTCAGTGTTAGTGTTGTTTTTTGCCCTAGTTTCTTTTGGTAAATAGTTCTCAGCCTCGTGCGTCATCTCTGTTATCACTACATTTGGTATGTATGACTTATGTTCCCCAGTGGCAGAATAACCGTCCTGCTTTGGAGTCCAGCGGGGAGAGGATCCTTGAAGCTCTAAAGAAAGGCACCGCTGTAGCTGCAAACCCTGGGGAGAGTCCACCTCTGGCCCCAGATGTTGCTAATCGCTGCTTCCAGCAGTTGGCCCATTCTTACGAGGAGGAGTACGGAGGCTTCAGAGATGCTCCCAAGTTCCCGAAACCAGGTAGACGAGAAAGACCCTGAATGTTCACCCCGCCCACTTCTGTGTCCCCCCCCCCCCCCCCCCCCCCCCCAAACCTCACTATTTTTCCATCTCTCTTTCTCACTCCATAGTGAATCTGATGTTCCTCATGTCTTACTGGTCTGTGAATCGCTCCACGTCAGAAGGGGTTGAGGCTCTTCAGATGGCCTTGCACACACTCCGCATGATGGCGCTGGGAGGCATCCACGACCACGTGGCACAGGTTCACACCATAGACCGTATTTTAATACAGACAAAGCATCTCCAATCTGCCACATGTGCAGAAATTAAGGCCGAAAGATCCTATATGCAAACTGTGCCATCTTCCACATTGAAAGCCACAAACCTGCTGATACACAAACTTGAGCAATTTTTATAATGAATTATTTTTTATAGCATCAAATAACAAATTCAAACCAAACACATCAGAAAATAGTCACGTGAATAAACATCAATGTGATGAGAAATTCTAAAAAGGACATTATTTTAGAAAAATGTATTTGAGGTGTACTTTGGCTTTTTAATATGATCCATGTCCCATCCACTAACATGAAGGAGGCAGGGTTTGTGACTGTTATTGCAGCCAGCCACCAGGGGGTGATAGAGACTCTTTGGCTTCACTTTTTGGATGCTGTCATGTCGTCCGTCTTTGTATACAGTCAATGTATCAAACATTTTGTTCTACAGTGACTCTCACTATTA